GGGGGGGGGGGGGGGGGGGGTGTTTTGGGGGTAGTTTGTTTGGTTTTTTTAGTTTAACAGCACATGCCCTGAAATATTTCATTGAAGTGTATTTCTTCAGGGGATAAAAAAATTAAATTAAACATGCCTGAATCTAACCAAACAGGAATTGTGAATTAAAGAATACATGATAAAATAGCATAAATTTTGAAATGCCACAGCCTCAGAACAGTGTGTATCCAATATTGAATCTGTTATCGTATTTTTAAATATTTAAAATCATTCCAAGAGCTGCAACTAAAGCAAAGACAACCTCTGAGAAAGTACCCAATGCAGTAAAATGAGAGTTAATAAGTGTTGTAGTGTGAGTTGATAAAATTGTGCTGTTGTATTTCTTCATTGTCAGCACAAATCCTTGTTTATTAAAAATTTAGCTTGAAGGAAACTTTAATTAATTACAGGTTCAGTAAATCCTGACTAGGATTCTGCTGTGGTGTGTTTACAGTGAATGGCCTTCATGTGCCTGTGTTTCACTTCTGTTCTCTCTGCTACCTGACAATGTGATTTATGGCTGTTGTTTTCTACTAGTCCACTGTTTGCCCTCTAGGAGGGATTGGTCTCTTGAGCCTCCATAATAACAGCAGCACTTTCACAAAACATCTTTTAATGACAACAGTGTAACATTCTGTAAGTCAGGCTAATTGCAGACATACCCTATTAATTGCAAAAACTAGGAGAGGTTACATATTTTACAAGCTTTTAATTTGAAATCGCCCGAGATGATTTGTCTTAAGTGTTTGGATAGAGATGTCTACAATATTCTATGATAGGCCATTGCTGAGATTCTAGGACACGGTTGCAGACTGTGGGCAGTGTGCCAGGTAGAATTAAGCTTTGGATGTCCACATCTGCCTAGAAATCCTACTCTGTGTGTAATACAAATTGTTCTAAAGATTACATATTCTCTTGAGAATCGTGATGTCAACATTAAATAATGTGTCATGGTTTTATCAGGAGGTGATAATCAGAAAGTAGAAGTTCTTGAACAGTTGAACACAGAAGAGCTTTTTGAATCTTGGGGTATGTCTGAGCAAGAAATTTTATAATAAGAGATCATGGACTTTTAACACCATCCGAGTCTTTGAGATGGATTTTTCCCTTTTGTTTTTGTTGGGTTGTTTGTTTTGGGGTTTTTTTTTTAAGGTACTTCTAGTAATAAGAGTTTTGTCTTTCCTTTAGCAAATTCTGTGGTGGTTCTACTTTTTTTTCTTTTACATTGGGTATTTTTGTTTCATCCAGAATTGCTTCCCAGCCCATCATCTTCTGTTTAAGTCTTCTAGATTCATATGTGGAGAGTAAATGCAGGAAAGATGCATCTTGAATACTATGAATGCTTGGAAGGTGACATAGATGGTCCCTGCCCTACAAAATCTACAGCTATAAAGGGTAGTAAAAACTTGGGGAAAGGATATAGCTTACAAGAGAAGCACAAAATTTGAAGATTACTCACAAATATATTAATCCTATTAATGAGAGAGGTTGGGCAGAATTTAGGATTAACCAAACAGACTTTGTGATTTTTTTTCAGTTTTTCACTTGTTTAATTTTCTCAAACTTTCTAATCTTGCATGCAGTACACAAAGCTGGGTTTGTGAAGTGAATATAGGAGAACTTTAATCAAATGTAATGTTTGTTTTTTCAGACATTGCCTTTTAAAATAAATAAATGAATAAATGAAAACCACTGTTTCCTTCTGACCAGTCTTCAGGTCAAATTCTGATCTGTTATAACACAGTGTTCAAGTGTTTCATTCTTTTACAGATGAGCTAAGAATCATATAATCAAAATCTTGCCTATACTTATTTTCTTTGCAAACTAAATTATATATCTGCTTTTTCAAAACTTTTTGTATGTACCTTGGACAGCAAACCTGTAGTTCAGTAGGTCTGAGTTTTCTGTCTGTCATGTTTTACTGACAACATGCACCTTTTGCTTTTAGGTGAAACTAATTCAGGAAATTGCTTCATGCCATGGAATTTTAATTACATCTTATTCATACATTCGACTGATGCAGGATAACATCCACAGCTATGACTGGCATTATGTGATTCTGGATGAGGGTCACAAAATCCGAAATCCAAATGCCGCGGTCACACTTGCATGCAAGCAGGTACTTTATAAAAAATGAATGAAATATTTTAAGTGCTCTGGGGGGGAGGTTCCCAAATCTAATAGCCTGTATTACTTTATCATAAAAATGCACATTTGACCATTAATAAAGAGCAAAAGCATAAATCAAAATGGTCTGTATTTGACTATTTAATTTACTTAACATTTTTAATGAGCTTACATTAGTAAATTTACAGAAGTATGGTAGAGAAAAAAATCAGAAATTTTAAATTGTGTAGTAATTTACCATTTGGGATGAATGTCAGATTGCTGGTATTCATCTTCTGCTAACAGTTTATGGACAATATATTGCAGAAAGCTGTTTATTTCAGGAATATGAGGCCACATATTTTAAAATGAGAATTCATTGATGGTGAAATTGAATATACTCTGAAGCAGGAGGCAGGTTACACCATGAACCGTGAAAATAACTTTCTTTTGGTTTTGTGGTTTTTATTAATAGTTCCGCACACCCCATCGAATCATCTTGTCTGGCTCGCCTATGCAAAATAACCTAAAGGAGCTCTGGTCCCTCTTTGACTTTGTATTCCCAGGGAAATTGGGAACACTGCCTGTGTTCATGGAGCAATTTTCTGTTCCAATAACCATGGGAGGGTATTCTAATGCCTCTCCTGTCCAGGTAAATGCCTCAAAAATATCACTTTGCTTGAAGGAAACTGTTACGTTGTTTCTAAACTGACTTTTAAATGTACTTCATGCTGTATGTTCTAGTCACAACTCAAAAGAGAGGTGCATGTGTGTTTTACTGCTGCGTTTGAGAAAAGAACTGTTCAACTAAATGAGACCATTTTGTTTATACAGGGGTATAGCTTATACACAAGGCTTTCTTGTCAAAGGTTTAAATCATTAGAATTATTCTTTGATGTAAAGTAAAGATAAGCAAATTGCGGTGGGAAGTGTATATAAAATACATCTTGTGTTTTGATGTATTTGAATAAAACTTTCCTGTTTGATATCAAGCTTTGGCAAATTATGCAATAGAGGAATCCTTAAATCCAAACTGAAAACCGTTTTCATTTTAAAAAGCTAGAGTATGTATTGGAAGTCTGAAAGTAGATAAACTATTTAATTTTGAAAGCAAAAATTATTGGGAATATTATTTTGAATAAGTATGTCTATTAATCTTCGTAGTTGTGGTTCTCAGTATTTATGAGTTCTTAAACTTTTTTCAAATTAGCTGATAGATAAATTGTCTGCATAATAATCTGCAGACTAAGTTTCATATAAATGCTAATAAACTTTTATCCTTTTAAATATTCTTGTAACGTTTCGCACACATACATTTCTAAAGTTTTATTTTCTTCTTGAGTTTGAGTACTTCCCCTGTCTAAAGCTTAGTAATTTACTAAATTGGACAGCCAATTTGTTTTTTACACATCAATAATTTATTATATTCTTTGTTTAGCTTTAAGAGAAATGAAGGTATTTTTTAGCCATTATGTACAGTTAATACCCATCTCACACATCCATTACCCATTATAGAACCATATGCTCCATTTAAGGCCAGAGTGACCTTTAGTTTCTGTGATCGTGAGGATTTTCTTGTACCGATTTTTTTAATAGTCTCAAGTGGGCACTGATCTTCACTTATTGTCTAGTAAACACCATTGCTGTAGGCTTGTTTTTTGATCTTCAGTATATGTATTAGCAGTTTTTCATGAGGATTTTGGTTCTGTGCAAGTTTATACTCACTTCTTGAATTGGTTTCTAAAAGAAATACCTCATTTCTGATCTCTTTTAAAGTCCACTAAATTAGGAAAGATAAGTTAGTGGTATCTGAGGAAGACTTACTTTTTCAATGTTATTGTTGCTAACGTGAATTTTATTGCAATTCATGTTGTGTTGAATATGTAACTGTAGATGCATGTGATTCATAAATAATCTAATTTTATTAGAATTTTCCTATTACTAGATATGGAATTTTGCTTGTTACTAAAATTAATATCAAGAACCAAAATACAACTTTTGCTTTTTCTTCCTTTTTCAGGTAAAAACTGCATACAAATGTGCCTGTGTGTTACGGGACACCATAAACCCCTACTTGCTGCGAAGAATGAAGGCTGATGTAAAAATGAGCCTTTCACTTCCAGATAAAAATGAACAGGTTTGCTTATCTTTACTATTAGATCTGAGCCCTCTCCTTCCCCAAAATCCAATCTTTCATGGACATTTGGAAATAATTTGTGCTAATAGTAGATGAAATGCTGTTTTAACTAAAGATAAGATGTAGAGCTTTCAAGTTGCATACTCCTTCCACCTACATTCTGAGCATTAAATGGTCACAGTCTTGCAGGGTCTGTACAAGTACACTCTCATCTAAAAACCAAAGGATATATGAAGCATAGTCAGGTCTGCTTAATACTGTCCTCCTAGGTCACAGGTGCATACAAATGAGTTGTCCATGGGGTGTTTCCTATGATGCATCTCTTGGACACTTTAGCATTGTTTTCTCCTTTAAAAAGGTTCATTTTGGCAGCAAATAGTAGAGAAATACTTGATGGCAGTTGTTCATACGGCAAGCTAGCTGGGCCTGTACATTCTAATAAATTTCCAAAATATTAGCCTTTTGATCAAAAACTTGTTTGCTCTACAAAGAGGTGAGATGTCTTTTTAGGAAACATTCTGATTCAAAGTAGAGGTTGAAAGGATTGTTTAAACAACTGAAATTCCTACAAATACTCACTTGTAGTCATTATTAGATTCTTCTGCCACTCAGGTTTCAGTGCTTCAGGCTTTCCTGTCCTCTCTTTAATCTTTCTTCTTTTTTAATTCTTTCTATGCAGTATCTTTTAACTTAGTATTTCAGTATGTCAGACATCTGTGAAGCTTCATTGTAGCACATTGCAAAACTTTAAAATTCACTCTATTTGGAGTTTACAGGTCGGGCTTGAGCCCGACCTGTTCATTTGTTTCATTTGTTCATTTGTTTGCTTTGGTAGGTCCTCTTCTGCCGTTTGACAGATGAGCAGCGTCAAGTCTATCAAAATTTCATCAGCTCTAAAGAAGTTTACCAGATTCTCAATGGAGACATGCAGGTTGGCATTAATTAATGTTAATGACAGGTAGAATTTGATGGATAAAGTCATGGACTGACCTTTGCATTCTTCTGTCTGGATTCTGAGCAGAAAGGGGAGCAAACACACTAATCTCACTTCTACTTTTGTGGATATATGCTTTTTTTTCTCAGAAATATTCCAGGGAATATGTAGAGTTAGTGATCCATATGTAGCGGCATGAGCAGATAAAAGTAGTAGTGGAATGACTTTGCAATATGTTTGTGATCTTGGGAACAAATTATGGCTTGTTGGATGACCTGCTCTAGGTTACCATATGCATGCTTTTATACAATTGCAAAAGTGAAGCAAAGGAAAAGAGTAATTTGTCCTCAGAGTACAGTTCAGGTATGATAACTCTGTGATGCAACAGTTGATTATTTCACAGAGTCTTAATGTATAGCAGAGCAAATAGCAAGCATCCTTGTTACGGTCGTACTAGTCACTTCAACACCTTTTGCCTCCATCCTTACAACATAAGTGTTGAAATTGCTGTGACCAGGTTGACAGCAGTAATGGAAATACAGTTTCAGATGCCTGCTGTTGCCTGTGTAAAAAGTCTGCTATTCCCTGTGACTCCTACATTACACACATTTGGTCCATTTGACTTTTGTATGCATGCAGTGGATGTTTTTCACTCCCATTTTACCTGCAGGATACAGATCTACTGTTTGTAAGAGGAGAAGTAATATGTCTTGGTTATGATGTGTAATTTACCATGTTTCCTTGTCTTGTGAGCTGTGAAATCCCTTCTGCCCCCACCACCAGTGACTCCAGTTAGTTGTATGGTCAGTACAGCCATGTATATTGCAGTGCCATACAAAGCAGATGTTGACCTTATCACTGTTTTTACTTTTATATTTTTTCAAGATCTCGCAAAGGTATAGTGGCCAAGCTTTTTCAAATGCCTAGCCATTTTAGTTATCCCAATGAAAATTATTTTAAGGAGCTTGATCTTCAAGAGATGGCTTGTACAAGACTATCTGCAGAAATTTCTCTTAAGATGTACAGAATGGGCTATCATATTTGCTAGAGTTTTGAAAATTTTGAACAGTAAACGTCAATGCTTTTATTAGATGTTTTGTGATGACAGCAATGAATTCCAGCTGAAAAACAAAAACCCCATCGTACAAACAAACCATAAATTATGAGCAGGCTCATCCAACTTGTAGCGATAGAAGATTGAGGGATTTGCTGTTTCAAGCTAGTTCATTTTTAATGAGTGCCCATTATATCAGAAGAATAAGTAACACTTGTAATCTTGTTGAATGAATAACTGAACAGAACCTTCTAACATGGCATCAAAAGTGGTAATTTTCAGCTTCATATGTTTGTTCAAATATGTTTACTCATCTGTTCTTTGTTACCATGCATACTGGTGGGTATACTTGCTATCCTCAAGGTCTGTCTTAAGTTACCTGCTAACATGGCAGGGGTTGGAAGGAAGGACACAATAATTTCAAGTAACAAACTTGGTGGAATCTTTCCTTTTGAGTAGGAAAAATTTGACTGTGAGTTACAGCTAAAGACTACTTTTGCTAATGTGGAAATTGCTGCAGAAACAGCAAGGGAAATTGCTCTTAACATTGTCACCAGAATAGGCTCAAAAGAATGTAAAATTTCATTGACCTTCTCTTGTACTTGATTCTTGATTATTCTTCTTGATTTTTCCTAAAACTTTCCATGAAATGAGTATTAGCGTCCATTGGCTTTTCTAAAGAGCAAACCACTATTAAAAACAAACTTCTTGATGATTACTGGATTAATACATTATTTTTCTCAACCACAACCCATACAGACAAATGTATTTGTCAAGAAAATGAAAATAAAAATATTTTTCTCCTGTGTTCTTTAGATTTTCTCAGGACTAGTAGCTTTGAGAAAGATTTGCAACCACCCTGACCTCTTCTCTGGTGGCCCCAGGATTTTGAAGGGTGTACCAGATGCTGAAGTGGCGGAAGCAGATCAGTTTGGATATTGGAAACGTTCTGGAAAAATGATAGTGGTAGAATCCTTGCTGAAAATATGGCACAAACAAGGTCACAGAGTGTTGTTTTTTACTCAGTCAAGACAGGTAAGATGAGCTAATTGGTTTTAGTTTTAGTTATTACTAAAACTAAAAATGTGTATGTATGTATCCCAACAAGACTTGTAATTAGAACCACCTTTTGTAGTGTCCTTCTCAGAAAATTAACATCTTATGGAAACAAAAAACCAAAAATTACTAATGTCTTTGGAATAATTGGAGACCAGTTCCCAAGCTCAGTAAGCTTTACTGGAATGACACAGTGTTGTGGCAGTCTTGCCCAAATTCATTATACTGGCTCAAAGCTTGTATCAGTTCTACCCATATAACACCAAGCTGAAGCAGTGGTGACGTATTTATTGTCCCTATTGTGTAGTTTCAGGATAGAATCGGTAGTCAGTTTGTTTGCTGTGTTTAGTGCATGTGCTGCACATCTAATTCTCAGAACTGTGTGCTTTGGGCCAGTAGCACAGACAGTGACCTTCATTTGTTTTCCCTATGTATTCATGATTTTGTCTTGCTTCCATGGATTCCCTTGGAATGCTGCATCATTTACCTGGTTAATTGTCTTGAGACCATGGCTCTGGACCTCCCAAACCAAGCACAAACATTCCACTCACGCATTCAGCAGTGAAATAACTACTTTTTATTTTTTTTTTTTCCCCAATTACATAAGTTAATGAATTTTCTGCTTATTTAAGTTTCACAAGTTTTTGGTCATCATCTTGTTTGTTTGGTTGGCACTGCAGTTAGTACCAGAAATTCTTATGACTTGATCAGACAGTTGCTCAGTCTTCATGTCTGGATTTCATTAATTTTTTTCCATCACAACAGATGCTGCAGATACTTGAAGTCTTTGTGAGTGAAAGAAACTATTCGTACCTCAGGATGGATGGCACCACAACAATAGCTTCCAGACAGCCCCTTATAGCAAGATACAATGAGGTGAGATGTTGTATCCCACACACTAATGCCTGTTAGTGAGTATGGTTGAGTTCTTGCATTCCTTTTTGGTCTGTTTTTAATTATACTACAGGTTTGACACACAAAACTGGGGACTTCAATCAAATGAAACCACTTTCTTTGTGAGAGGGGGGAAAAAGCGATCACTTTTTCCACACTTAAGTTGGGTTTTCTGCTAAGAAAAAAAACACAGTTGAAAAGGGGAAAAAGAAATTTTATTGGACAACAGTAAATGAAATTTAGATCAAACTACTCTTATTTGTCAAGAGATATTAGGCAAAGAAGGAAATGCATTCCTTCTCTTGGGTCCCTTTGCATCTTTGCAAATAATGCTGATAATAAAAGAATCCAGGAAATAAAAAAAAAAAAAACCACAATCATTCTACTTTGGTAATTCTTGCTTTAGTAAATTCTTTCTTGTGTTATAGGACAAGTCCATATTTATTTTTCTTCTAACAACTCGTGTTGGTGGCATTGGAGTTAACTTGACTGGTGCTGACCGGGTTATTATTTATGATCCCGATTGGAATCCTAGTACAGACACACAGGTGAGTTTGGTTCATTACATTCCATTTACAAGCTAAGTTTAAATAAAACTGAAGACAGAATGACATTTATCTCCTCAAACAGTGTTAAACCACTATGTTGCTCTTCCCTAAGTTGTTGTTCCTAGCAATGGTCACTTAGGGTGCAGTTCCATATTATTACTCTTGTGGCAAAGCCGATTTAAGTGGTTCCCACCACATCCCCTTTATGCTGTTATACCCTACCACTCTTCAATATTGTCAATTCACATAGTCTGTTTAGAGTGTAGCCAAACAAACAGTTGAAATGGCCTGATTTTTAAAAATAAACAAACAAACAAACCAGATGTTTCTGAAGGGAGAGTACAGCTGTGCAAGCTCTTGAACACGCATGACTGTTTACAGTGGCAATGCAGGGTAAGCAAAGGGGAGCAAGTGTTGCTTAAATTGGCTTTGTCACTAAATAATGATATGTAGCTATACCCTTAGAAGCTGCTGTTAAGCGAATACCTTGAAGAAGTTGTTCTTTATCTGATGGTGTGATGAGACCCTGGTTTATTAGATCCCTCAACAGTATATGCGGCTTACATGTTTGAGAGGAAAAAAATATTTGTGATGAAAATCCTACATAGCTCTGAGATCTGCAAGTGGTATGTTTTAGTTGTTGGTTCAAGATGTTTATAGGAAAGCTTTCAGTTAAGAAAAAGAAGAAAAGTTCAACAGAAATGCATATATTAAAGATCTATTGTAAAATAGTTCCCTTTTGGAATAAGTCTATATAAAGTACGTATCCTAGATAAGAGTTCTAATTTTAACGTAATTTATTTTTTGAGATTTATTGCATAGATTTCTTCGTACAACTGGAAACTTTTCTTTTTACATAGGTAAACTTTCTAAATTGTTTTTCTCTCCTGCTGAGTTAGTTGTCCTAATGTTGTAGAAATACCACAGCTATGCAACTTCTTGAACTATTTGTTAAATATCCAAACTAGGTTTGAAGCAGTGGTATCGATAGCTCTCTGTTAAACACATGTCTAAGAGGCTAATGTCTGGTAACCAAACCTTTTATGTTCCAGGCTCGGGAACGTGCTTGGAGAATAGGCCAAAAGAAACAGGTGACTGTGTACAGGCTTCTCACTGCAGGTACTATTGAAGAGAAGATATACCACAGGTCAGTTGGATAAAGCAGTATGCACAAGAAAATATTTGTAGCGAATCTGAGGTGTACGTAACAGTGGCATACCTGTGCATGTGCACACATGGCTTGTAATCCCCATCTTGGTCATGATGGGCGAGTCACTGAAAACTTTTAAAAATTTCTGCTGAGAAATGGACCTTCATCTAATATTAGGCTCCCAGCTGCAGCGCTGTGCTGCTGCCTCTCTAGCTCCAAGAACCACATGCTAAACATACCTCATCAGTCTGTTCCAGCAGCTGTGTCCAGTACATCCAGAATTCACTGTAAATGAGAGAGTGTGAGGCATAGACAGGAAAAAATGAGCCCCTTACTCAGAACATGAGACTCAACAAGTCTGAAATGCAAATTGAAATCAACAAGTTCTTTATATTGTCCTTAGGATATATAAAGATGTATGTGGTACATACATCCATTTACTACTCTGCAAACCCAATTTGATTTTATTCCCAAATCATTCCAAAGTGAGAGAATTAAATCCCAAGAACCACCAGTCATATTCACATTATTTATTCCAAAATGTAGCTAAAGCCTTGAAGTGCTTGTATTTTGAAAACAGTGAAATCTTTTTGTTTTACTTTCCCGTTCAGCTTTCTCAGTAGTTAGCTTCACTGACATGAATTCCAAGTGAAAGTACATGGGAATCCTCTGCCCCGGCATTACTCTTCAGAACTGGAATATCCCCTTTGAAAATGCAGATGAATGAAAAGCTCTAAATAATGAAATACCTGCACTTATTGAGTGCCTTTTTAAATCTATTTTACCACATGGACACAAAAGCATCCGCTGTTGGTTGGCTTGCATCCCTCTGGCATACTTCGGTTTGAACAACACTGACCACATCAAGGAAGTGGGCTCTAAGGGTCAGGGCAGCCATCAGAAATTCATTTATTTCCTGAACAGTGCAATGGGCTTTGAACTTTGAGCAAGTTGCCTTTTCTCTTCGCCTGTGTTTTCTTTTCTGCAAATATGTGATCATCCTTGCAAGAAGCTATGAAGCTCAGTTAATTCTTAAAAACTTTAAAGTCATCTGATGGGTGCACTACAGTAGCTGGCACCTAAGTTTAAACTTAGTTTTTGCCAACTGGATTTAAAAATACTTTCCCTGCTTAATGCCAGCAGAGCCAAAACCGTGATAAAAACACTTCTTGAGAACTGATTTCCAGCTTTATTTAGGGATGTATTTTTTGTACATGAAAATAGTGCGTAGAATTTGAAATCAAAAGCTATGTAGTACAAACATGGCATAGAAGTAGATTTACCAGTGCTAGAAGACTTTTTGCAACTTAGTTCTCCTCTAGATTTGTTTCTTTCAGTCTTCTGCAGATGGACTTTTATTCCCTTCCTCTCAACCACAAATCTGATTTCCCTTTTCAGTGATTGTCATCCAGTCATCACCATCGGACTGAGCTGCTCTGCTGCTTTTGATTCCTCCAACCAATTGACCATTAAAATGTTGTAATTTTAACAAGCTCTTGTTTTTCTTTCAGGAGCTTTCTGATAGTTTTATTGTAACATATGCAAGCTTTTCAATTTTAATGGACAAAAAAAATTCTAGCCGTGAAGTTATTTATTGCTTAGTTAAGGGATGCCCCATAGGACATTTCAGGATGGTGGTTACCTGTTGTGTTATGGGGTTGTTGCAAAACAATAAATGCCTGTGTTTAACAATTTAGTTGGTTGTTTGAAAGTTACTAACTCAAGATTGTCTTTTGGAAACTAACATCATCTTCCCGCTGCTTAGTTGTTCTGCAGGGTAACATTTGTGCTTATACAGTTTTCTGTTTAAGTACTGTATTCAGTACTTAAACATAGCTAGACATTGTTTCATGCACAAAGTACTTTTTTTTCAATTTTAGACAAATCTTCAAACAGTTTTTAACGAACAGAGTGCTGAAAGACCCTAAGCAGAGGCGCTTTTTCAAATCCAATGACCTTTATGAACTTTTTACTCTGAGCAGCCCAGATGTGTCTCAGGGGACAGAAACAAGTGCAATTTTTGCAGGTACGCATTTTTCTCTGTTTGTTTAAAAGAAAAAATGTTTGAAGTGTTTGATAAATGGATACTAATTTCATTCATCCCTCAGGTACTGGTTCAGATGTTCAAGTCCCAAAACACCAACTGAAACAGAAACTTGAAAAGCCACCTGATAATGACACTTCTAAAGGTGATCTCCATCTTACAGAAAGCAGCTCACCAAAGTACAGCAAGTCATCCAATTCCTACTCGACCACCCACATGACAAATTCTTCTTCTAAAGCAATACATGCAAGTGAGGAAACCAAAGGGAATTTGGAAGCCTTTGACCAAAATAGCTATGCAAAAGATAATATACAAGCTGCTACTAATATAAATTCATTGAATAAAAGCAAGGAGGAAAGCTTGGAAAGAGCTGACAAATCTATGTTCCAGTCATTGCTAGGTGATGCAGGGTCTTCAGAGAATGCCAAATGTCTGAACACCATGGTGGCTGATGAAGTACATGGAGCAGCTAATGCAAATGTGAAGGGAGATTTTAGCCTTACATGTGGTGCAGCTGGCTCTTGGGAAAAGCAGGTTGCTAAAACTGAAGATGGGCAATTAGGTAATAATCATTATAAGTGTACCTCAAAAACAAAGCACAGGGTGGATATGCTGTCACACGAGAGCCACAAAGATAAGTCTAAGAAGAAGCATCACAAAGATGCCAAATTTGAAGGAGAGCGTGTTCCTCATCTAGTGAAACAAAAGCGATACAGAAGGGAGAACAGTGAAGAGAAGGAGGAAGACTCAAATAAAAATGATGATTATGTCTTGGAGAAACTTTTCAAAAAATCAGGTAACAGTTGTTATTTTGCTGCTCAACAGTGTCAGACTATTTAAACAGAGGTATATAAAATTTATGCAAGTGAGGGAAGGAGCAGTTCTGTTACTCTGATGGTCAGAGCTACAATACAAAACGTGTTTTATCTATTCTGTTACTGTAGTGAAACATTAAAATGTTCATCACTGAAATGCTTCGGTTATGAATGTGCTCATTACCTCGGCACAAACATTTCAGAGATCTGCAGCCTTCCAGAAACACTTCTGGATGTAGAAGTAATGCAGTGTTTCTTCTGGAAATAAGGATATAACCAACCTTCATTTACACAGGGGTTTCACTTCTGTCTGCCATGTCCATAACAATAGAAATGATCAATTTACCCACATAATTGCCAAGTCTGTTGTGAATAATGACCTCATCAGCACACCAGAAGTGGTTTGCTGTCAAATTGATTGCTTAACTGATAGAAGGGGGTTCTCTTATTAGAAATGACTATACTGAAGTGCTGACTATAATCAACCTGCAAAAGGAAAAATATGATTGTGGCATTCACTTAAATGGTGAATATTTAATTTTACAGATAACCATGTAAATGAACAGATGTCCTCCTTCACCTTTTCTTGTATCTTCTGGTTTCTAGGGGTGCACAGTGTTATGAAGCATGATGCCATTATGGAAGCTTCCAGTGCAGATCATGTGCTGGTGGAAGCAGAAGCAAACAGAGTGGCCCAGAATGCCTTAAGAGCCTTAAAAGTCTCTCGACAGCAATGTTTAGGAGCTGCTTCTGGTGTGCCAACATGGACAGGCATGAGTGGTCTTTCAGGTGCACCATCAGGAATAAAGTAAGTTCAGTTCTCACACTGCTTTTCCAAAAACAGAAAAGTTCCTTAGGCTGCTACGGATTTACCATTTTTTTTGCACTTGGTATTTGCAATAACATGTATCAATGTGGAGTTCGTGTTTTATATTTAATAAAGACATGAAGGCATATTACAAGCCTAGGAAGTCCATTCTGAAGTACAAAGAAAGCATTATTGTTGCATGGTAGAGGAGAGAGAGTTTGGCAGAGGGCTCTTGAGAACCCTAAAATGCAAACCCAGTCAATGTCTTTGGCAAAACTATCCTAATCACTTTGAGAAGGATGTTTTATGGAGCTAATTCTTTTGTGGGTTTTCAGGAGTCGGTTTGGTCAAAAACGAAACCCCATGCTGCTTTCTTCACATTCCACTTGTGCATCACCTGCAAAGAAGTGCAAGGTAAGAGACACAAGCTAACATTTCTCTTTTAATAGCTGATATATGTGAAATGTTCTGATTTATGCAACAAATCTGATTTATACTGTAGATGTGTCTCATACCCATTTGTTGTATGATTATGTAGAATTCTAGAGTTTTTAGTCACCCATGAATTTGATTTTTCATGTTTTGATATAGCATCTTGATGAAGTCTAATTAGATACAGCAGTCACAAATTGCAACATGGTCTGGTTATCTGTCTAAAGACCAGCAATGCTTTTTCTTTCACTTCCTAAGTTCTAAAGTTGAGACCAGAACATATTACCTCTTTATTGTGTATTTCAGATATCTAGCTTCTGAGTGTTCATGTTTGTTGTTTAAGTCTAAACAGCAAGCAGATTTTGTATAACAGATTCTGTGGATTTCAAAATCCAACTTTCTCCATAGTCTTTATGTTTGTTTGCAGGGTGCAGATACAATAAAGAAAGAAAATGTAAAGAAGTGTAGTTCCAATGGGCACTTTGATGGCAGATCTGGAGAATCACCATCCAGTGCACTAGACTCTTCATCTTTATTAGCTAAGATGAGGGCAAGAAACCACCTTCTTTTACCACAACAGACAGGGAATGAGGGAGATGAGAATCATCAGCAAGCACCTGCCCCAGCCCTGGGTTCAACAGAATATGATGAACTGCTCGTGGATATGCGTAACTTCATAGCGTTCCAGGCCCATGTGGACGGCGAGGCTAGCACTCAGGAAATATTGCATGAATTTGAGTCCAAACTGCCTGCAGCGCAGTCCTGCGTCTTTAGAGAACTTCTCCGCAATCTCTGCACCTTCCATAGGAGCCCCAACGGTGAAGGTGTCTGGAGGCTAAAGCCAGAATTCCGATGAACTTTGTCAAGGGAAGTCATCTGTCTGTACGCTTGGCCACCACTCTCCTTTCAAAGACTTACTGTTTGTCTTTTAAAGTGAGGAATTATTTCGTATTCATGATTTAATAATTGACTTGAGCAGTCAGTGGTGCAGCGCTTGTTGCAGGCTTAGAGCTAACAATTTCTGATTTACACTATTTATATCAAAGCGCCGTCTACCTCATAGATGAAACAATACAAAATATCAGCACCTTTTCTTTAAAAGAAATCTTAATATAACTGGGATGAAGAATACATACTGACTTTTTATTGCAATAAGAACCATGGATGTTGCCATGGGTTGTAAGACTTTGATTTCTGCGAAATTCCAAGAACTTCCTCGATTTTCTGTATGTTACTTGAATGGTCATGGGGCACACAGTGTACCGTTAAAAAAAAAAAAAAAAAAAAAAAGGAGGAGGAGGAGATGATAGTGGTCAGCATGAGAGATTCACTTGCACCAACAAGTGCGTCAAAGTCATTGTATATCATCAGTAGTGAGAATTTTGTTTTAATGTAGGTGCTTTCATTGTTGCCAGCATCTAGCATATGCAGTGTAACTTAGATCACTAAATATTTTGGGAAATAATTCTACTGCCACAGAGGTTTAATCACAAAAATTGAAAGCCTGGCAGGATATTGAGATGACTGACAGTTGATAATTATGGAAAACTTAGGATATTAGGAAAACCCATTTACACTATAATCATCAATTCAGTTACAGTCCTGTATACCACTGGTAATTGCTTGGTACAATATTTCTTACCACTGAGGTGACAGTAACTGTGATGTTTGTCACAGGTTGTGGACCGATAGTTGAAATCCCATGAAATTATCATGGGTCTCACTGTAATTTATGTCAAAAACTTTCCAGTTCCCTGTTAGCACTTAGTCTTTGTCAAGGTGTAAAACTTTGAGGTGTTGGTTGGTCAGAGGGGGAATGGTTTCACTGCATTTTACTAACCATAATCACTTTTGGCCAGAGACGTAATTAGAGCATATACAGCAGTCACAGGTCATACCTATTCTGTAGATAGGGAAAATCTCAGTCTTCCTGACAGTCAGACAAGTTCTAATACCCACTTTCTTCCAAGGAAGGAAGGATTGGATTATTTGTAGCAAACCTGAGTACTACTTTGGGTCTATCTTCAAGGTACTAGTGTGCTATGTAAGGAAATCTTAAGGGGGAAAGAATGGATAGATTTTTGAGAAGAAAACTACATTCTTGCAGCAATATTAAATTACTGTATGGCTTAAACTAGGAACAGTTAAATATGCCTAATGTCCTTCCTATCCCTAAGCTACTGAGAAAAGGGAAAGCTCTAATTTTTTTGTTCAGTGTGAAAGTATCTTGTTTACTTCAAGTGAAAATACAAATACTGAAAGATGAATGGTGAAGCAACAATACAAACTGTTACTTTTTTCTCATAAAGAAAGTCTTTAAGATACCCCAGTGGCTCTTCTTGTTTTTGCTCAGTGCTAAAGGTTCTGTAGAGATTTGCAAAAAGTGGTGACTTGCTGTTTCAATAACTGGTCAGTTGGCTTTTCACAGACTGGAGCTGGACAGGGCAGACAGTCCAAGTATCTGTTTCTTTTCCTCACGGCATTTCAAGGTGGGACTGTGGCACCTTTTCCTGACATCTCTTTTCCTGATCCCATTTATATTCACTTACATTCCCTCTTTCAGGAGAAAGGTAAAACCAAGAATCTAGGCTGCAATTACAAAACACTTCAAAAATTGTAGATCTGTTGATCTGACTTAAAATGGATCAGTAAAAGAGTAAAAAAAAAAAAACCAAACAACTTTGCTGTTCTCTCAAAAGCTGTAGGGAATTTTAATTGGTTTTGGGTGTCATGCCCCCACATATCCCTATGCCCCAGGAACAAACCAGGAATTCAGCTGTTAGCAAAGCTGCTGTTGTCACCTTAGCTGTCAGTTCTGGTATCCTGTTTTATTTACTACTTCCAATCTTAAAGAAATAGTTCCTGTTTAAGGAAAGTTTGCAACTTCTCGCTGATCTGTTAATGTAAATGGACTTGCATGTGCTTTTTATAAATCCTAGGCTTTTATGGACTTAATAAAAAAGCAAAACCAAAAGTCTGTTCTAGAAGTCGTCTTTGGGGGCGGGGCCAAGAATGGCGGGGAGGCATCTCTTCCTGTATAGTGTGGCTCTGACTAAATGATTCATATTATCTTTAAGTACATTTCCATTTTTCATACAACTTCAAATTATGCAGCCTAGCAACTAGATTTTTTTTCCAGTACTAGCTTTTAAAATGTTTAAAAGACTGAATGAATATTAGTATAATACTCAAAAAAATATTTTTAAGTATTTAATCTCAAAAGTGTATGTGATTAAAGGTCTACAGGCTGATTTATAGGTAAAAGTTGTTCTGGAATATAATACAGCTGCTATACATTCTATGGTAGAAGAGTTATTTCAGAATAATCCTACTTTGATTCCATAAAGTATTATCTGATTTTTTGTTTGTTCAGCTTTACCTCTGTAAAGTGAATTCCTTTCACATCTTCAATGAATAATCTGAAACAATTCCTGACTAGTGATATTGCAGAGTCAAACATGTTTACCATTAAATAGCTTTACAGATACATAATATTTTTTAAAGCTTGTATTTTAGCCTTCTCAGTTTCCTAGTATTCAGTGCTGCAGTTGGTAGTTGCTACTTTATTTGTGCATGATTCCAAAAATCACTCATGTGGAATGCTTGTGTTTTTATAATTTGTTTTCTTACCTCAGTAAAAAGGGGATAAAGAACGATTAAAATATAGATGTTAATTTAGGAATCAAGTTGGAAAAAATCATTAAATCTTATTAAGAAAAGACATTTCAGCATGGAGCAGTGAGTATAATCTTTAAATTAAAAAAAAAAAAGTATGCCACAATAAACTACTGAAAACTTGTTTCCTGTAAAGATGCTAAAAGCTGAGCACCATGCTACTCAAAAAAATGTCATGCCACTGTAGATGATGTGACCTACTACCCACACAGCTCAGCAGACAAATGCAGTTGAACAAAAATCTAGAAAGCTAAATAGCAAAAACTTGGATTGTTCTGTAAGCAGTTATAAGGGCTGTGTACACTGTTTGGGTAAAACGTGCTGCGCTGGTATTTTAACAGCAGAAGTTAAAACTTACCATAATTGTTTCTTCTGGTTCCAAACCATATTTGTAAAGGGGAGGTAAAAAACAACTCTTTCTTTGTTTATTAAGGTGTTTTCTCCCCTCCCCCCACATCTCATCCTCCTTTTACATTTTTCCAGGTGTTTATTCTCCCATGTTAATCCTTTTGCTGAAGACTTAAGTCTTGTATAGTCAACCTACTCATTTCTGGTATAAGAACTAAATTCTGACCTAGAGAAAAGAGATTCTGCTAAAGGTTGTAGGCACTTGACTCTTCTGAACAATAATGACCTGCCACAAAAGGAACGTTAGCAAGATGCTGAATAGATAGATTCAATTGTGATTAAAAAATGGAGAGGAGTATTTTTAAATCCATAACTTCATACTGTGGCTCGGCCTCTTCTCAAAGGGCTACACCATGTGGAGAATTGAGTCTACTACAGCTAATAAATGTTACCCTCCCAAGTAAAGCTGTAGGGAATTGGGCTTTTTATCTGCAAGTTTTGGCTTCAGATGATATCACCTACAGACAGTTGTACTCAAGTCACAAGGTCAACCTTGCTTTCGATTCCAAGATTGCTAAACTTGGCTGATTTTTACTGTCTTCTAGTGGTGCAATTCTCTGCCTTTCAAGAAGCTACAGCAGAGGGGACAAGACTTTCAAAAGGACTTGATGGGATTTTTGTTGTTGTTGTTCATAAAATCCCGCAGCACTCCCCTTCTTTGAGCTACTGACTCATTAGGACTAAGAAGTTTCCAGTTCTTCAGCTGGTGTGAATGCAGCTCCACTGACGTGGATGGGCTGATGCTGTTCCTCGAGGACCTAGCGAGTGTGTTACCTGGGATGCTGCACATACGTGATTGAAACGGCCACAGAACATCAGCCTTTCTCCAGTTTCTGTGTGCTTACTGATACTGCTGTATGGAAAGGACAATTAAAGGCGAGTTGCATTCCTGAAAAGGGATAGCCTGTTGCACAGGTTTTTGGTTGATTTTCACAAAGAATGATCTTGTGGGCCCCGTTTTTGGCTGAACTCCAAGTACGGTTTGAGATGTGCTTTTCAAAAATCATGGAGATAGGTGATGGCAATGATTTTAGTAGCTATCTGAAGAGACCTTTGAGTCTTGATTCCCCAGTTAAAGTTATGTATGAAGTGCACTTTGTTATACTGATGTTAGTCTGCAATTGAATCGGGACTTTTTTCCCTCATCTGCCAATTAACTGAGTTTGGTAGTGAATGAATACTGCCAGGACCGGTAATGCCCCATCACTAGTATGTAAGGAAAAAGCTCTTCGGAGGGAGAATGCTTTGCATTTGCTTAGACTGAGAAAATACACAAAATCTGTTCAGTAAACAATGATACTACTGTGTAACAGTGTAAAAATGAGAGAGGAATCCTCATAACAACATTGGTGGGGAGGGAGAGAATTTTCCAATAGATTTTAAATTGTTACACATTGAGATCTATCCAAAAAAAAAAAAAAACCCACCACATATAATGATACACAATACTTTCTCAGTGACAAAGATACCCAGGCAGGCATCACATAACTAGAAAAAGCAGTGTGAAAACTATTGTTACAGGATGTATTCTTCAGGGAAAGCTGTCACAGGAAGCAGTAATTTAAGCAATTAATTTGACAAAACAGTCTTAGAGAAAACAGTAACTTGACTAATGTTCTTTCGAGAGGGTAACACTTTTCTTCAACATAAAATAATTTTATTTTTAATAGAAGGAACTGGGTAGGTGAATAATAAAATTGGTGAGATAATACGTGACTTGCATTCTTTTTGCATACAGCTGTGATTCCTCTGTCAAATCTAGTAATAAGTTTAAGCAGTTTTCTCTCTCGGAGGGAGGAAGGTGTTGAGGAACAGCCATATCTCAGTGGTTCAGCAAGGAAGGACGACGCAAAGTCTTTTGTGCTGGTGGAGACTATGCTTTCTCAAATGATACATGAAGATGGTGAAAAGATTAGATGTGAGAGACCCCATAGCAGCTTTAAACTTGGTGTACTCCCAATGTATGGGGCCAAAAAATTACTTAAACCATGAGAAAAAATTAAGAAGGAATTAAGCTGGGTAGCATAGTCACTGAGATGGTTTAAAATGTGGCATAATCTACCTGTTTGGTCTTTTAGGAGCAGGGAGATCTGGATTCTCTTGCTATAAACCTCTGGGTGACTTTGGATGCCGTACTATACTGCCTGCTGCATTGGCTTCCCCATCTGATGGATGCAGTCTTTTGGGGATGGCAAGAAATCTTTCAAGTCCTTTGGAAATGCTTCAGAAAATGATAGCACAGTACAAAGAATTCCTGGTTGGAAAAACAGAGGTAATACAGCATCTTTCTGTCTAGATTATTAATTCAGCAACTGTAGTTTACACAAAACTATCATACAAAATTGCTGAGAGTCCAGTTTTTGAAGGTCTTGAGTAGGGCACATGTCTTGGAGTCAGGATGTGCTCGCAAGTCTGCACTTGGGAGTTTATCTCCTCTGGGAGAGGTATTTATATATTGGATACATGGTAAAAACACTCTCTGCTACTTAGGGCCATTTATAATTTCCCTGTTCCAACATTCAAGCTAAATGCTGAATATATGCTTACTAACTCAGTGGCTCTCTCCATCTACCCAGCCCTCAAGGGATTACTATTCTAGGCTCTGGAGTGACGTCAACAGTCCTACTTCACATGATATTGCTGATGTGGTATAGTCCTGTTCCTTCAGCTGAGACTTAGAAGATGAAGCTTTCCTTAGTAATTCTTAACTTTTGCTGGTGACCCTGGTTTTGCTGCCTCTAGTATCATTAAAAGTAAAGAGAAGTCTGACATCTTTCATGCAAGGGTCATACCTCTTTTCTTTTTTAAATGGGTCTAAGACAGCTGCTATGAAGTGAGTGAAATACCTTGTGTTCTTGCTCCCTGCCTGCAAAAGCCACAGTGAAGACTGCAGTACATCATTGCTGTGTTCAGGGAGCACAAAACTACTCTCCTTTTTCCGGAAAGAAAAGATCTGCATGAGTCACTAAACTAGGAACTACAAAACCTGCCCAGGTACAGAGAAGCATCAGGCATCTGTGTTGAGAAGGAAGCAACTTTCACCCTGCTCTATCCAGTAGTTTCTCATTGTTTGTGCTAACCTGGAATTAATGGGAGATGGGAGAGTGTATTTTGAGCTGAGCTCTTCATTTCTGAATGGCAGGGTTGGACTTGCATTTAAGTCCAAACTTGTTAAGGTTCTGAAATGCACAATGAAGGCTCCCAACTAAATTTTGCTCTGCCCACTAATGATACTTTTTCAGTACTGCTGTCCATATTAATTATAATGGCATCAAAGATGATGTGGCAGGCCACATAATAAATCTCCCCATTCTTACCCATAAAGAAAAACCCCCTGTTCTTACCCGTCTGAAAGCCAGATGATTTTGAACTCTTCAGACCCTCCAAGCTGTTTATCCAGTCATTTGAAAGAGGGAGAAGGAAAAGCAATGCCAATGCTGAACTCTTTAGAGAATCCACCTAAAATTTTAAGTTGTTAACTGTCTGTCATAGTTCCCTACAGATTCCTTGCTTTTCCTGGGCTCCCAAAGCCACACTGCTCACAACATGTAAGTTGAGAGAACCTGTTTTTATTGTACAGAACAGGGAGGTTGAAGCCTTGCACTAATTGCAAACCAGTAAGTAGTATCATCAGTGGAGCTATGACCAGCTCCTCCATAAGGCTTACATAAGTGGTGAGTCATACAGGCTTAGAAAAGAATAGGGAGCGAGGCTTTCATTATGTTGTTTGCCTAATCAGAAATATGAAAATAAAAGAACACAGCACTCAGTGGGTTACGTTTGGCTAACTGTAGGCTGGAATTTCTGCAGTTGCACTACTATGATTGAGGCATTTCGTTGTTTGTGGTCCCAGCTTATATTAAACAGGGAGGATTTTTTCATAAATCTTTGCCTCTAGGGCAGAGTTAAGGTTGTTTGGGAACCCTAGCTATGTGTTTGCAGACATTAATGTCTGGAAGCAGCACCATGAGAGTAAAACTGGAGGTATGTGCCTAGGGAGGATACTAGGAGTAAATGAAGAGGCCCAAGGGCAGGGTAGGGTTTGTAAGGATAAGCATGTGAAGAAGCAGTGGAGTGGAAGCAAAGCTTTTAGGGTGACTGAAAAACAGTCTAGTGATGATTTCTCATATCTTACTAGTCTCTTTCCACGCTGTCAGGCAGATAGTTGAACAGATATTACTTTATCCAGCACTGCTGTTAGCCATGAGCTGAGATACCTACAGCCCTTGGAAGACAGCTGGAGAGTTCTGAGGATCAAAATTGGCTGTAGCTTTATGTGCAGCAACAATGCTCTTTACACTGGTCTGATTAACTCATCACTGCTTCTCATTTTCCTCCATCAGTCCTCTGCACCTCATGTGGCAAACTGATCAGCAACCTTGTCTCCTGGTGAAAAAAACATAGCAATAATAACTATTCAATTTCTTTTTCAAGTATGTGGCTACAATAGTTGAAGGCTGGAACAAGTGACAGTAGGAGAGAGTCTGGAGCTCAAGACTGCATGGCCAAGTGCCCTAGGAACTTCAGCTTTACAGCAGCAAAACATGAGTGCTTTCTGTATCAGAGCTGTTTGAACAGTCCAGATTAAAACGTTTTTTCCTTCAAATGTCTAATTTGGGAGCGTGCGGAGCTGTAGCCTCTTTGTCGCCACCTCATGCATCTATGGGCCCACATGCCTAAGCAGAGGAGCCAGAGGACGTTTCTACCTGCCCCTGCCCCATAACCTACCTCCCTTTGCTTTCCTGCCTGGAAAGGGAACGAGGGGCCGTGCGGAACAAGCAGAACAGGCACCGCTGTGTGAACCATCAGGAATGTATAACTGCTCCTCAGTCAGTTGCCAGACTGCCTTAAAAAGGACCAATACGCAGGATGTTTAGGGTTTGGGTTGGGGTGGGTTGGTTGGTTGGCTTGGGGGGGAGTGGAACTCCCGTCATCAACGAAAGCGGGGAAAAAAAAGGCAAATTAATTGAAAGCTGGTTCAGTCTGGGAATGATTTAAGCCTTCAAATAGCTTCTCAGCATACGCATGCCTCCCTCCATCGCTAATTACTTGGAAGCTCGGCTGCTCTTGCTGCACGGCGATCGCAGGCGGCCGGACTCTGTCCCGTCCCTAAAGCCTCGCCCTGGGCAGCAGTCGGGCCCGAGTTACAGCCTTGTGTAACCGCAGGCTCTGTCCTGCGGCACGGCCGAGCCCACCCCGGGGCCTGGGCCCACACCAGGGGGAATTCTGTAGGCTGTGAAGCTGGCAGATGCAGAGGCTCACGCCCATTTTCAAGGGTACTTTTCATTGCTGTGGCACTGACAGGAAACGGCACCCGGGATCAGCAATGCCCAAATCAAAGCCTGTTTTAAGAAGGTAAGTTTAAAGAATAAGACTCTCACAAGTGCGGTTTTCTTTGCAGCTACTTGGCCTCCCCCGACACCAGCAGCCGTTCCCCCGAGCCCCGGCCGGCGGCCCTCTGATGTTAACGAGCCAGCGGCGATGCCCCATTGAGCCTGTAAAGGGGCCTTAATGGCCCGGGCGAGGCGCGGCCGCCCGCCCCCGGGGGAAGCGGCCATCGGGGCTGAGCGCCCTTGCCCCGCGCACTCGCCTCGCCGCCCTCAGCTGTGGCGGGCCGGGG